TTTTGTTATCAGTTGGCTTAATATAACCCCAACGGACCGTATTTTTGTGAAAGATTGGTATTTTTGTCCTGATTTGTAGGAATCTGAAAAACGCGTTTCACAACTTGTCTCTTATTTAGTTTTATGCGTCATTCAAGATGGCGGCCCCCATATAGTAAATATCGTATTTATTTTATTATCACGTTTGCGCCAGCTGACTGTGGGCTCTCCCACTATTTTGGGGGGTAGCCGAGGCTCAGGCTAATTGCACCGGTCCTTCTCTGGATCCTCGGGCACTGAATGCCAACGGGATGCTGGCAGCCAAGTCTCCGATCTCGGGGCAGGGCTTTCAGGGCAGATTACACGTTGACCCCCCCTACTTTCAGCCAGCTAGGGTTCGTCACGCGGTAACGGTACAACGGTAACGAATTTTTCCTTGTGTCCAGCCCCCGCTGTGGGTTTTGACTCCTTTCTTACTGACCCACGGGCGCGGAGGATGTAATGCTTAAGGCCCCCGGGTGGGGATAACATTAGGCAACACTTCCCACTGGACCAAACGCTACCCGGTCGGTGTGGTTTCGGGATCAGACCCCATAGCGTGGGATGAGACCAAAACGCCCCCAACCGGATTCCAAGGCTCCTTCCCCAGACCCCGGAACCACGAATTTGGCAAACCGGGCAAAGGGGGATAGCCGCGTTCCATGGGTGTCTTTGCCAATTGAAGACGACCCATCCAGCCCTGAGAACATTATTATGCGTGACCAGCACTCTGGAGACCTTGGAGGCAGAACACACCAGCCTCCTAGACCAGGCGACATTTTTACTGGTGGGCCACTGCACATCTACATGCGACACCCCCTAGTGTCGCCTGGCTCTCTTGGCCTGGGCCACTACCGTGCTACGAGACGCGGCCTTAGACGCACATGTTTTCGCCGACAAGCTGAGCCGGGGTACGTCCTCACCTCAGTGACGCAGACTGGACATCCTCCACCATCTTTGTTCAGGGAATGGTGGGTACAGTCTCGGAGTTTCGTAGTGCAATGAACCAGAGGGTTCAGATTGAATCCGCTAGCCAGTTGGTCCTGCCATGGGCAAACGGAGGGCACCCAAAGCACAGAAAACACAACGCCCTAGGGCGTCGTCCGCTAGCCAGAGTCAGCCAGGAGGCAAGCGCTTATACCCTTCCATGGGAGGGGAGGGTAGTGGCGTGCCCCCAGGGAGGTAAGAGCCAGGTGCTGGCTCATCACCCTCCCTGGGCGGACGTCTACCCGGCAGCAGGGGAGGCATGTTTGACGCTCGCCTCTGCAACGGGGGGGGAGGGGGGGGGCAGGCACGTGTTTGGTGAATGGCCAGGTCACAACTTAGTGACTACTTCAGGCCTTGGGGAACTCACCTCATGGGGGAAGGGAGCACCCCCCCCTCGCAACGGCCCAACACATGGCCACATATCCCTGTCGTACACAGATTGCACCGGTGTAGTCCGGTTTGGAGACGGCGGGTGACCGATCCCTGGACCTTTCCAGGTGGTGACATCCGTTTACGGGATACCACTGAAATCTCCATTTCCCCCCGTCAGTGTCTCCCAGAATTGCCCAGCTGGGCCAAGTATTCAAATTTCGGGTGCCCCACGTTCGGGTTAGGCACAGCGCCCTATTTGTTCACCAGAGTAATGAAACAGGTAGTGCTGCTGCTTCACCAGATGTCGGTACACCTTAATCCGTACCCAGACTTCTGGTTACCAACAACCCGGGCAAGGGGTATTAGCCAAACGCGTCAGGCTAACACGGGATTTACTTCACCAGTTGGGCTCATTAGTAAATCGACAAGTCCCACCTCGACCCAACGTGCAGTTGGTGTCCCTGGGCATGGAGTTTTGACACAGAGGTAAGCTTGCCTTAGCTATTTCAAGTGTATTGCTTAGCGCTAAGCAGCCTAGCCGAATACCTAGTCAGCGTTCCCTCAGTGTCCCTCCGTGAACTAATACGGAACATCGAAATGATGACCTCAGTTCGAAAGGCTGTTCCCCAGGCCACACTACGCAGCCGCCCGGTATAACGCTTGTTATAACGCCGAGCTCTCCTATGGGAACTAGATAGGCGGGTTTCGATCTCGGACCAAGTGAAGGAAGCCCTGCCCTGGTGGTCGCCACTGGCCAACCACAGACAGGGGAGCCCCTTGGGCCCGCTCGCTGCAGGTATGACTCTGGTAACAGATACCTCCCCCTCGGGTTGGGGAGCGCATCTATTGGGCCAACAAACCCAAGGATATGGCCCCCTCATTAGTTTCGGGACTACCATATCAACCGGCTCGAACTGAGAGCAGTGTACATAGCACTACCACGCTTTCTACCCGTAGTTCGAGACCACAGAGTCCTGCTCCGCACAGGCCATGCAGCGGTGGTCTCCTTCAAGAAGGAGGGGGGACGCATTCCCCATCGTTATCAGTCCTAGCGGAGCAAAATCCTCCTTTGGTGCCTGGAATACAATGTGGAGCTAACCGCACACCACCTTCCAGGGGTGAGGAACAGTCTGGCGACGCCCTTTCAGGGCGGCTCCATCTCCAGAACACGAAGTAGCTGATACCCCAGTGGGTAGCCTCTAGGCTGTTTCGGCCGTGGGACGGTCCAAGGTTAGACCGTTTTGCCGCACCCCAGAACGCCAAGCTCCCGACGTATGTAACACTTCTGCTGACTCCAGGAGCCTGGTCCAGGGTCGCTTTGCAAGCCCCATGGACTCACTTAGTTGTGTACGCCTTTCCTTCCTTTCCGCTAAAAACTTTGACAGGTGCACACCCGCATATTATCATGGATTGCACCCAATTGGCCAAGCAAGGCCTAGTTTCCACTTCTGTTGAAAATGCTAGTCGAAGCGCCAGCAGTGCTTCCGGACTTACCGGACCTGCCGTCCCAACCAGACAACGCACTACCAACGAGCCCAGCAGGTATCACTTACACGCATAGAGGCTCTCAGTAGACCCGCACATACGAAAGCCTTATCTGAGCGGGCTGCCAACAGGGATTCCACCTACGCGGCCTACATTTCTAGGCTGCAAGCATACACTGATTGGTGTAGCAGAAGGGAGATTGATCCATACCATCCCTCTATTGGCCAGGTAGCAGGCTCCTTCGTCCACCTGTTTGACGAAGTGGGTTTGTTCTACGCAGCGAGCGTTGGCTACAGGTCGGTCTTGTCCCCCACCACTCAGAACGTACGGGAACAAGACTAGCCGATTGTCCTATTATTAGGAGACTACTGTAGAATACTTTATTTTCGCTTGGAATTTATTTTCGCTATTTTTGCTGAAGGGATGATTCCGTGAAAATAAAATCCAGCGAGTATACTTTTTTCTCTATATTAAACTCATGAAAAATCAGTGAAAATAAATTCCAAGCAAAACACCGAAAAAGCCTTTTCAGCGAAAATTAATTCCAGTGAAAATAAAGTATTCCACAGTATTTACTGCTTTCCAGACGCCAAGACCCCATACAAGGGAGCCGCCCAACTGGGACTCGTCAGCTGTGTTGTCTGCTCTAAGCAGACCGCCCTTTGAGCCTCTCCAATTAGCACCACTCAAATTTTTGATGTGGAAAATAGTCTTCTTACTGGCCCTCGCCTCAGGTAGGCGCTGATCAGAGCTAGGCGCGCACTGTCCTTCACGGACGGTTGTACCGCTTTTATGGACGATCAAGTTGTACTAAAGACACGAATCGGGTTTCTCGCCAAGAACCAAATCCCAGGACACGATCCTCAACCAATCGTCATCCCCCGGCTGGCAAATATTGTCAGTTTGGAGGATCAGGAGGAATTGCTTCTCTACCCGGTCCGAGCGCTGAGTTGCTACGAGAACCGTACCAGGTTTTCTAGACGGGGACCAAAACCAAACGCGTGTTTTTGTGTTAACGCCCTAGCAAACAAAATAAGTCGGCTTCCCCGACTTCCATCTCCAGGTGGATTACTGCGACTGTACTGGAGGTCTATAATACACTATCCTCCTCAACACAGACCTTGCAGAGACACCAAGTACGAGAACATGAGGTCCGTGCGATTGTGTTAGCGTCAGGTGCCCCCCTCAAACACATTCTGAGGGCAGGCTTCTGGAGAACACAGAACGTCTTCATCAACTACTACCTAAGAGACACCCAATCTATTGAGCAGGGTCTCGTCAGGTTAGGCCCCGTCATAGCGGGTCAGGCCTAA